ATTGTACATTTGCTGTTATGTTCAACTTATATTAAAGTTTTTCTTCATTACCCATTCAAGCCGTCTCCAACCATTATTAGTCTCGATGTTGTTCTTTCAGAAAATTAATTTCAGTTTTCATTTTTCCCTGGCCTCAAAGGTTCTCACTTATAATTATCTTAATTCCGCAGGATTAGAATTGGGCAATTATTGTTGAATCGAATTGTTGGAAAGGGGTTCAGAGAAAGGCTAATAGGGGGACACCCGGGATGGAAAGGTTATCATAAGAGAACAGGATAAGAGGTTTTCTCTTGAACAAAAGGAGAGTTAGAGGGGATCTGATTGAGGTGTTTAAAATTGGTAAGGGAATTGATAGCGTTGATGCATCATCTTTTTTTATAGTTAATGGTGAGAATGGTAGGATAATAGATCACAAATATAAATTTTGGCAAGGTAGAAGTCATCTTCAGGTAAGAGAGTTTGATTTTTCTAGAGGCAGTTAGCCTTTGGAACAAGCTGCCTTCAGATGTGGTAGGTGCAGTTAACTTAAGGGAAACTTAATAAATAAGAACTGGCTTTGAGTATTTTATTTTTATTTTAGAATTTAGGTTAGTGAAATGGACAGCCTAGATAGACCAACAGGTCCTTTGTTGTCCTTAAATTACATATGCAATGCCTCTGTGTTTGATAAGCAATAGTAAATTTTCATAACTTCGTGTAATGAAATACAAAAAAAAATTTAATTTAAAAGGGAAGAAATCAAAATCATGGATTTTTGTATGGACTTTTTTTTTTACCTCGGAGGGATATTTCTCTTGACACACGATCTATAATGAGTACTTCAGTATGGGATGTCTGTGGCTCCAGGAAAAATTTGTCAGCTGTAACATGACTAAAATAATATGATGATCAATTTCTGTTTAATAAACTTATAAAAAAAATAACTCTATATATATAATAGCAAAACGTCCATATCTCTGTCTGTCTGTCCTGCTCTGTATTTCCTGAATGGTTAATCACAGAAAAATAAACTATATATATATCAAAATGCATCTTTTGAAAAGTAAACTGCAGAAAAACTATTCATTTTATGCACTTCCTAAAATTTATTAAGGATAACAACATCAGTCCAACAAAAATGTTTCATTTTTTTGTGAGGGAATTTAATGAGAAAAACAGGACTTCTTCTGTAGACTGATGGAAAGAAATATTTTGGAAAGAGGAGTATGAAAAAAAAATTCATAAAAAGGGGAACATGTTTGAGTATAAGTTCCTTAAAGATCGTATTATAATCTTTGATCATTTTACTTAGTTATCTTCTTCTTCTACTATCAACTTATTCATGTAGAGCAGTGATTCTCAACCAGGGG